AAGATAAGCGGATTCAAACAAGGCCTATATGTTTATTTTTTGTTGGTTCATCTTGATATGTTTATTTTGGGTGGGACGGGTAGAGCGAAAGCTTATGGATTCGAAAGGGAAAGAATGCAGCGAAAGTCTGTGGATGATGCCGTGAAGCCACTGGATGATGACGTGAAGCCAAGGGAAGATGAAAACTACACAGCCATTTTCCTTAGAACCACAAGCCCAACGATGATCACAACAGTTGCTCATGCTTTGCTTTGCCCAGAGAAATCCCGATAAATTAGGCTGGACACACGAAAAAGCGCAAGCAAACCCCAGAAGAAAACGTATTGCGGCGATACCCCCGCCGCTAAGCAAAAGCAACGCATCTGGATCTCTCCCGTTCTCTCGTCTCCTCCTCCATCCGCAAGTCCAGACGCCCCCAGACAGACAGAGACGTGACTAGAACGCGGCTCGCGCACCTGGACCCCACGCATCAGCCTCCGGTCCTCGCCACGTCGGACCACCCCCACCGCCACAGGACGGAATCGTCGCGAACCTTCACTCTCCCTCTCGCGCCATCCTCTGCTCTCCACCGTTGGGCCCATTCCGCGCCTCCTTAAAGACCTCCCCGCCCGGCGAGCCATTCACCGCACCAACCACCAGCGCGCAAGGAAAACGAGTAAACGACCAACAAGCCGTGACCGTGAGAGCTCCGAGCGCCGGCCTCGTGTCCTCCGTACACAGGCAGTGAGAGGAGAGGGCGGTGACAGAGGAACAGAGGAGGCGGAGGAGGAGAACCAGAAGATGTACTTCCGGCCGCCGCCCAAGGGCCCGGAGTGGTACGCCGGCGATGCGGAGACGGGGCAGGCGGCGCGGCCGCTGTACCCACTGATGCTGGAGGACCCGCGCCTGCGGTGGGCCTTCATCCGGAAGGTCTATAGCATCCTGTCCATCCAGATGCTGCTCACCGTCGCCGTCGCCGCCATCGTCGTGTACGTCCGCCCCGTCGCGCGCTTCTTCGTCTCCACGCCCGGGGGATTTGGCCTCTACATCTTCCTCCTCATCCTCCCGTTCATAGGTACGCGACGCAACGCAACGCAACCTCTGGCTCTCGATTCGATTCTTGATGATGCAAATGTATGGCGGCGCTAACGAACGAATGGAACTGACTCCTCGTTGCGTCGGTACGTCCTGCAGTGCTGTGCCCTCTGTACTACTACTACCAGCACCACCCGGTGAACCTGCTGCTGCTGGGCCTCTTCACGATCGCCATCAGCTTCGCCGTCGGCCTCACCTGCGCCTTCACCAAAGGGGAGGTGATCCTGGAGTCGGGGATCCTGACGGCGGTGGTGGTGCTGAGCCTCACGGCGTACACCTTCTGGGCGGCGAAGCGCGGCCACGACTTCAACTTCCTGGGCCCGTTCCTGTTCGCCGCCGTCATGATCCTCATGCTGTTCGCGCTCATCCAGCTCTTCTTCCCGCTCGGCCGCATCTCGCTGATGATCTACGGCGGGCTGGCGGCGCTCATCTTCTGCGGTTACATCATCTACGACACCGACAACCTCATCAAGCGCTACTCCTACGACGAGTACGTCTGGGCCGCCGTCGCGCTCTACCTCGACGTCATCAACCTCTTCCTCTCCCTCCTCACGCTCTTCCGGGCGGCGGATTCGTGAGCACCGCTACCTGCCACTGCCAGCTCGCGCAGGCGCAGGCAGCGAGAGAATGTTGGATTTGGAATGTGCCTTGCCTTGCCTTGCCCCGCCTCTGTTTTAGTATCTGCTGGAATTCCTCTGTAAAGTGAAATAATTGTTTTGGCTATGTGCTTTGCTTCGCTTCGAAGATTGTTTATTAATGGAACTTAGTAGTACTAACTTAACTGGTGTGTGTTCTTTTCTGTGTCATCATCCAAGTTCTTTTTTTTCTCTCTCTCGAAACATAGCCCGAGTAGGATCCTCAAAAAGAATAAAAACCTCGTCTCTGCAAGGAGTAAAAAGAAACTTGCTATATATAGGATATTTTTAGGCAAGATGTTCAGAGGGTGTTTGGTTCACGTCACCAAAGTTTAGTCCCAATTTCGATCAGATATTTGATAATAATAATCAAGGGTATTAAATATAAACTAATTATAAAACTAATTATATAAATGTAGACTAATTCATGAGATGGATCTATTAAATCTAATTAGTTCATGATTAGCTAATGTGGTACTACATTAAACATATGATACATTGATTAATTAGGTTTAATAAATTAATCTCGCAATTTAGTCATAATTAGTTGTATAATTAACTTATGTTTGGTCTTCATAATTGACATCCGAATTTTAGTCTCCGGATTAAATACCCCTCACTGTTGTTCATAAGCATGTATAGATGAATGGAGAAAAAATGAAGATAGAAGTAAATACGGTGTCAAAACTTATGTTTAATCTTCATAATTGACATCTGAATTTTAGTCCCCGGATCAAATACTCGAGGTCCAATTTAATACACACCCACCAACACACGTTCTTATCCTCTCCGGCTTCACACCACTCATCGTATAATATACACACACCTATCAACACACCTTTTTATCCTATCTCTGCCTCCACACCACTCATCGTATATGTATCTCTCTCTTCTGCCCTCTTTGATGATGGCCTTTTAAAAATCAGCATGCACTCCTCATCCATCTCTGTGACCCTGTCATTTCTCTCTTTGCAGCACTCATCCATCTCGCATCGCCTCGCATGCTGCAATTGAGCGGGGCTCCAGGGCGTTCCCTTTCACCTGGATCTCTCCTCCAAGCAATGTCATCGGCGGCGGCATCACAAGGAGGTGCTAGAGCACGCTTAGATCTAAGCAGACAAGGACTCCTCGACATGGGGGTTCCTCCATGATGGGGTGCCTCCACATAGGAGGTGGGGAGGGGGCTTGCTGCTAGCGATTCCTCCATGGTGAGGGGCTCCTTCACAGGTGAACAATTGGGTCCTCCATGGTGGTTGCTGCCATCCTCCCTCTCCACTACACCCGAGCGCCTCTTGCTCGCTACCACAGATCCCCAATAGGTAGGCCGTGGGCGCAGGCGATGTCGTGTTTCAGGTGTTTTCAAACATATGTTTTCAAGTGTTTCATTTGAATGTTGCATATATTGTAATGGCTATATATGCATGCTGGCGGTGTATGTTTAATGTTGCAAGCATATGTTTCAAGTGTTTCAAATATTTCAGACGTATGTTTCAAGTGTTTTATTTGGATATTGTAGAAGTAGATGTGGATGTTGCATAACATGCCTGTGGCAAGTGTTTCATCTGAATGTTGTATAGGTTTTGCAATGGCCACAAGCGCGTTTCAAGTGTTTTCAAGTGTTTTGCAAGTGTTTCAGATATATGTTTGCAAGTGTTTCAGTTGTTTCGGACGTATGTCGCAAGTGTTTTATCTGGATGTTACAAAAGTAGATCTAGTGTTGCACATGTTGAAATATGACCCACCTGCAGTAGTCACCCACTGCAATTGCTTGGGCACCTGGGTCACCGTGTAGACGGCAGACGGATCCGCGGCACGCATGCACTTGCGGGGCAGATGACTGGGACCCACGTGGGCGTAGATGACGCGGGAAGTGGAGCGGGCGCGGGCAGTCCCCACGTGAAACAGAACTCCCACGTACGCCCGGGCGCACAGCAGGCGCAGGCGTTCGGAGGCGGCCATCCGTCCGGACGTCCGAGCGCTAGCCTGTCCCAAATACAATCTTATATAAGCATTTATTGGGAACAAATTATCTTAAACGTATTTATCTTGCAAGATAGTTTTAACATTTCGAAGAAGGAAGAGAACTGAGCTGGGGCTCGGTTGGTCTGAGCAAGGGCTCAGGCTGCCCGCCCGCGGTTCAAGCGCCGGCTCCCGCGCTGCGCCTCACCTTTCTTCTTAAGAGTATCCGGAAGACTCCCCTGTGTGTTAAAAAAAATCGAAGAAGGAAAAAGAAAAGAAAAGATCAGCCATCTAGAGTGGTTCCGGAAATCCCGAGCACGTCGCCCGACGTACCGCTCCACGCCTTCACCCAATCACCCCCTCCCTTCTCTGATCTCTTTCTCCCTTGGCCTCTCTTTTCTAGCGGCGACACGTCAGGGCGAGCGGCGCCGCCCGTGGCCAGGTCTTCGCGGGGCGCTTCGCCGGCGACGAGCATCAGCCAGGTATGCCCACTCATCGTCATTAGCCATAGGGCTGGACAAAATACTCGTGGCTCGCCAACTCACTCAACTCGTGGCCGGCTCAGCTCGGCTCGACTCGGCTCATTTTAACTTTTTCATGAGTTGAGCTGGAAGTCTAGCTCGCTATTTTAACAAGCCAGCTCGCGAGTTGCTCATGAGCTGAGGCCTATCAGCCTACGACCATAATCCAGAAGATGATGATGCTGACCTAGAAGTGTACACCTATTTTATTGGTATGTAATCCTTATTTTTAGCTGTTTCATATGAATTTTAGTTTTATAATTGTTGTGGTACTTAAATGTTGATTTTATGGATTGTTTTCCAAGGAGAAGATGATGATGCTGACATTGAATCTGTGAACTTTCCTAAGTTTGTGGTGGCAAGCAACTAGGTAGTAAGCTGGAACTGCATGATCATGGATGGACCAACTATGTTGCATGGTTGATACCATTGATAAACCTGATATGTATTAATCATGTATGGTTATATAATGATGGACGTTACCTTTTGAAATTAATGTAGCATAAACATTATAAACATGTGTGTCCTATTTTTTTAGTAGCTCGCGAGCTAAACGAGCCAGCTCGAGCTCGGTAACAAGCCGAGATGAGCTGCCCGTCTAACTTATAATATTAACGAGTCGAGTCGAGTTTGGCTTGATATCCGGCCCTAATCGGCCATTCCCTTTCCTGCTTCTTGCTGTGCGAAATCATCATCATCGAGCACTCCAAACCCCTAATGCATGCATTCTATATATTCGGATCGATCTGACCATGCCTTTTAATTTACCTTTTGGCAAGAATTATCGGGCGTATACGTGTCGTGTGCAGCCATGTCGTCCTATGCTGGGGCCTCCATCGCCGGCGGCGGCGCTGCTCGCGGCCGCAGCCGCAGCTTCGGGAGTCGCAGCAGCAACGGGGCCGACGGCAATGGCGCCGGGGTGTTCGTGAGGGCGGGGGCCGACAACGAGATGTACGTGCGGGCGGACAAGATCGATTTCAAGAACCTGGACGTGCAGCTGGAGAAGACGCGGTCGCAGGTGTGGCTGGAGCACCAGCGGTCGCAGCGGTCGGCGTCACCGCGGCCGGAGACGCCGCTGCTCGAGTGGGAGATCGACCTTGCCAAGCTCGACATCCAGAACCAGATCGCGCATGGCACCTTGGGCGTCGTCTACCGCGGCACCTACGACGGCCACGACGTCGCAGGTACGTCCGTTCATACGGCCATAATCACCGTCTGGTCCTCACCGGCGACGTACGTGAGTATCCATGGGTGTTGGCCCGGCGAGGCTGCACCACACCCTTCGAAGGAAGGAGAAGAGCAGATAGAAAACAATATGCCATGTGCCCAAAACCATTAGGTGCTTCCGTTTATAAAAAAAACCATCAAAAGTGCCAAAAAGATTCAACCAAAAATATGAATAGACAGACGATGCAACAGGATCCATGTTCATTTAGAATTTTAGGATTAACAAAAATTTGTAGAAATAGAAAAAAGAGAAAAACATGATCTTACTATATCTTTGGTGGTGGAGGCGAAGGTACCAACAACCAAGGTGGTGGAAAATGGCCAATGAGAAGGGCTGACTTAAGGGCAACTTAGGTCCTGTTTGGTACTGGTTTCGGAGCTGCTCCGCGAACAACTCCACGACTCCACCAACCAAACGGGATCGATGGCCTCCGCACCGCTCTACCCACGATTCACGCTCTCTTGACCGGGAAGCCTCCGTGGAAGCCAAAAACAAGTGACTTCCCTAGGCTCCTTCATCTATACACACAGGCCCTTGCCCCGAAATGTCTCTCCTCTGTGTGATCGGGGTGCGGAGCGAACGATGGCGCAGAGGTGGAGGTGGACAAAGGCGTCAGGGCAAAAACATATGGAGCAGGGCGGGCGACTCGGAGGAAGGCAGCGTGGGCGGATAAGAAAGAGAGAAAATGGGGTGAACGGAGAAATAGGAAAGAAGAAAAACATAAATGAAAAAAGAAAGAAAAAGATAAAAGCACTATGGACGTTTTATCTTTTTTTTTATTTACCATGGGGAGCTGTTTTTACTTAGCTTTCCTCTAAAAAAAATTGACCGAAGCCTAAGAAAGCTGCTCCAAACACACGCTTACTTGAATGAGTTAGCGGGTGGTGAGGAGTGGCAAAAGATGTGAGGCCACTTGAGATAGTGCGGAGGGTAGGCATGGGAGTGTGGTGATTAGTGAGGAAGCTTGCCGGTGTGTGGAGCAAAATCAGAAAAGAAGGAAGATAGGACAACTGTAGGATTTTTTCGATTCAAGAGCCTAAAATTTTGGTACGAGAAGGGAGAAATGCCCAGGAAGGATCTTACTCCACGGTCCACACTGAATTTCTCCGGTTTTCTGAGACCCTCCATTCTAAATAACTCTAATATCTGGTTTTTCAAGGAATCATTTGTTTTAAACTTGACTAAATATATTAAAATACTGTAATATCTGTGATGTGTAATAAGTATCATTAGTTTAATAGTAAAATATATTTTATAATAATTATGTTAAGAGATATAAATGATGATAATATTTTCTATACATCTATTTAGATTTTAAAATTTTGATTTCTAAAAAAACATACTGAGGCCGTAAAGTCGTTTGATATTATATCTCTAATAACATTGTATTTGGATGCAGTGAAGGTTCTGCACTAGGGTTATCCCTGACACATTGCATTGTATTTGGGATGCAGTGAAGGTTCTGGACTGGGGGCATGATGGGCAGGACACGGCGGCGAAGCACCGCGAGGCCTTCGAGAAGGAGGTCGCCGTCTGGCAGAAGCTTGACCACCCCAACGTCACTAAGGTTACGTAAGCAAAATTCACGGCCATCTTCGAGTTCGAGTGGGAGTTCACTGCACCGTGCACGTCTGAATCACTGAAACTTGCCGGCGGCATGCAGTTCGTGGGCGCGTCGATGGGGACGTCGCAGCTGAAGATCCCCAAGCAGGGGTCCACCTCCTCCTCCTCCTGCGGCGGTCGCACCGCGCCGAACGAGTGCTGCGTCGTCGTGATCGAGTTCCAACACGGTGGCACGCTTAAGACGCTGATGTACAACCACCGGGACAAGAAGCTTTCCTACAGGAAGGTCGTCCGGCTCGCGCTCGATCTCGCTAGAGGGTGAGTACGTCATGCATGAGTGTTAACTTGCATGCCGCTGATGCAAAAGTGCACCTGATCTGCACACACCACTACGGTATGGTCCTCGATTGTTGATGGCGCACGGTCATGACGGGATATGCACGCATGCAGGCTGAGCTACCTGCACTCGAAGAAGATCATGCACCGCGACGTGGAGGAGGAGAACATGCTGCTGGACCGGAAGCGGACACTGAAGATCGCCGACTTCGGTGTGGTGCGCGTGGAGGCGCAGAGCTGAGAGGTGACAGGGCAGACGGGCACGCTGGGCTACATTGCGCCAGAGGTGCTGCAGGGGAAGCCGTACGACCACAAGTGTGACGTGTACAGCTTCGGCATCCTGCTGTGGGAGACCTACTGCTGCGCCATGGCCTACCCCAACTACAGCCTCGCCGACATCTCCTACCACGTCGTCAAGCTCACTACATGTTTGCTGGGTTGGCACCGTCACCACTGAGCTAGCTCTGATGAGTGGAAGTTGCATGCAGGGCATCCGGCCAGACATTCCGAGGTGCTGTCCACGGGCGATGGCGGACATCATGACGCGGTGTTGGGACGGGAACCCAGACAACCGGCCGGAGATGTCGGAGGTGGTGGCGCTGCTGGAGAAGATCGACACCAGCAGCGCCAAGGGCGGCATGACCCCCGTCGACGACGTTGCGCAGGGGTGCTCCTGCTTCGGCTTCAACCGCAGCGTCGCCTAGGCTAGCTCTCGCCAGTTGAGACCTCAGTTAAGTTAATAATAAGCTAGTACACACCTAACTATGGCTGGCCATGCATGCCTCAACTAGTCGGCCAGCGGGCATCGATCGTCTTCTTTGCATGCTGTCTGTCGCCCCCATCATTGTGCGAATGTGTTTGAAGCGTCGCGCCATGGACTTGTAACCTGTAATTTGTCTTGTGAACTGTGGTCTGACATGGAATCTGTGTTGGCATCACACAATCTACATGACTGCAATGAGAGGGAGGCCTTGGCAATTTTACTTGATCGGTTTGGATATTTCTTGACTAACGCTAAAAGGTTAGAAAACGCTGAGAACATCATTATTTATTTGAAAATTCTACCACAGAAGATAAAATCTAATATTTTTTACATTTTTTTTTAGAATTTTCATATAATTTTAAGTAGTTTTTCAGATTTTTGAATGGGGTTTTGATAATTTTTAGTCTAGCTATTTAAAATATCGAAAGCACGAAGCTACGGTGAGTTAATCACAAAGGGAAGAAAAAAGGAAAAAGAAAAATGAACCCGCGTGACTTTACAGGCCGACCTTTGCCACCTGGGCCGACTTCTATAGTCTATGCTGTCACCTTGTTGGTGGGCTTCTTCAGCCATGTGCTAGAGGCCACACCGCTCAGCTACTATAAAATGTCCCTTCCCTAGCTACAGTTGAGAGCATGCCACCAGGAGGCGAACACAGTCTGGCACCGATTTCTTCCGTTCCCCTTCCACTCCGGCGGCCGGATTGGCGCTGGAGAGGATGGGGAACGGGGATTGAGGTGGCCGTTGTACATATACCCATCTAGTATAGGTAGTTTGGATCCAAGCAGTGCTCGTAGGTTGGAGGCGGGTTTGCGGTGGTGGAATAAGCGTCTCCGTCTTCTTCTCCGCCTCGCTGGTGAGTCTTCTGGTGCCAGCGATGAGCCGGTTTGGTGGGAGTTCCCCGGATCTGGAGCTCCAGATCTCGTTGGGTCTTTTTGCCCCTCCTTTGTCTTTGTCGGCTATGCTGGTCTCTCTGGCGTTGAATTTAGGAGGTTTGTTTACCAACATGAAGTCAAATCGGGTTGGCGTTTAGTTCCCACCTATTTTTGTGGTTCAGTTCCCCTTCAGGGTGCTTCGTCATCTAGCGATTTGGGGTTTCTGGCAGTCCTTGAGGCGTTGGAGTCCTTATTGTCTGGCGATGTGATGGTCAATGGCCATCTTATTCAGTCGGTCGTTCAGCGTCGACAAAGCATGACGGATCCAATGTGCTGCTCAAGACAGCAACTAAAAACTGTGTTTCTTCGCTGGGGAGGAAGTCGGCTTCAAGTTGCGTACTCCGACTGCAGACGGCGAGGAAGACCGGGAGGAGCTTACAAGGACTAGAGTACAATTTCTTTTTCTTTCAAGGGTGTCTTTGTAAGGAAAGGGTTGTAATCAGCAAAAATTATGAATGAAATATAAACCCGGTTTCTAAAAAAAACTATTATAAAAAGTTATTATCCACTTCAATTTCCTTCCTATAGTATAAAATCATATATCATATACTCCTGCTGGCCCACCATAACTGCACTTCTTTATTTTTAGGAGTCAACTTTTTCAAATTAGATGAAATATATAAAATTACTAATATTTATGGCGCGTAATAAGTACCATTAGATTGATCATGAAATATACTTTTATAGTAAACTCATTTGGAGATATAAATATCGATAATATTTTCTATATACCAAAGACAGAGGGGATACTTAATAAACAATCTAATAGGGGATAAATCACATCTCTAACTAGTTTTGATGATGGTTTAGTCTACATCTTGATGGTGGGACTTTCAGGGTAAATTGAATTTTACCAATAATTATATAAAGTTTTTAAAAAAGTATCGAAATGTTTTTTTAGAAACTTTATAAAATTAAAAATCCTAAAATCAAGTTTGTAATCATAGAAAATTTGCCCTTAGACGCGATTGGAACCAAAATAGGATGCATTTGGCTCAAAAAAATATTAAACAAGTTTTATCTTTTTATTTTTCAAAATCATACTCTATCTTCGAGTGCCTAGAGTTATTTGACACTGCTCACCTAAACGGACATTTAAGCGCGTGCATACACAATAATACGCTATTTCCATTTAATCAACCATTTATCCTGTTTAAGTGGCTAAGTGGCTATTTAGCCCCAACAAAGCTAGATGGTAAGTGACTAACTATTTAGCATTTAGAATAACACTGTTATTTGAATTGTCTATGGTCTATTTTTTGTGTTTATTTGCTATTTGATGTTCTCATTATTTATTATAATCGGTCAAGGATGAGAACTCGTACTACGGGAGAATGGCAAACAACTTCAACGAAAACACGCGTGCCATGTAACTACCGTATACCTTTTTAGTATGAACACAAAACATGTTACTTGACAATAAGGTGACAGTAACAGTAACATGATCAAGTGATGTTTGTACTGTTGTTGAAGTCACTTGTCCTTTTATGTAGTCTAGGACATCAACTTTGGCTAATTGTAATAGATAAGGAGTGCATCTACTAGAAAATATTATCTTCGTCCCAAAATAAATACACTTCTAGAATTCTTGGAGAAAATCAATGTTACTTTGAAATTACATATTTTCCCCTATAAACCAATTTTATCATGTAGTGATTGCTCTTTGAAAGTAGAGAAACTAAAAAAGTCCTATTACAACTAAGTGGACCATATCTATAAGTGCACTTATTTTGGAACAAATTTTAAATGCTAGAAGTACACTTATTTTGGGACAAGGGAGTAATATTAAGACCATAGAAGATTCAAACAACTCCAAGTTAGACGCCAAATGATTGAATATAATTTTAGGGGAACTGAAACTGATTTCATATTTTTTAAGATACAAAGTTTATGATTTTTTATTGCACAATTTTTTAAAAGAAATATTAGATTGCTTTTTGAAAAATATTTGCATTTTTTGATAGATCTATCTGAAATGGGCCTTACTAGCGCCCGGACGTCCGTATCCGGACGTCTATGCCTGCTGCTCCATTCACGCTCATTCGCGTGCACGTAGGAGCCCGCACCTCCCCTCCGTGCTTCCCCGTCTGGACACCCGAGCCCCATCCCGCTTCCTGCCCGCACCCCCTCCGCTTTCGACACACGCATGCCACGCGGGACCACCTGTAATGGAGATGGGGATCCCGATCTTCCGTCAGGTGGTGATAACTATCGTTGTGGCGGAGAATGACACACCGATCCGGTTTCAGATCAAAAGATCGAACCCTGCAATCTTAGCACCACAGCTCCTCTGGTTATCAACCAAGTCACGGACCAGGTTGACCTCGTCAAGAAGGCTAATCCCTACATGCGCAACGAAGAACACAAGCAAGAACAAGAAAGAACGCAACCAAATTGCAGATGAATGATTATCTCACGAAGTTGGGGTCTCACAAACCGATGAACGGCGAAACTGTTCTTGACAGAATAATCTAAACAAAACCCGAAACCTAATGATGGCGGCAGCGTATGATTATAAAGGTCTTACGGTCGTCGCCTACCGTGGACGCGCCCCCTAATGGGCCCAAACACGATACACGGTCCAACAGACCAAAAGACGTGTCGCAGCACCCTAGCAGATTCTGGACGCTCACTTGTTTCTACGATTCCCGTTGATTCTGAAGGGCTTTTAATGTGAGACCACTTGGATTGTCTTCCTTATCAAATTAGCTTTCCAACCATATGTGGATCGTCGAAAACGGAGTCCGGATGCGTCCTGGGTGACCAGTTTAAGGCAGACTGGTCCTGGAGGCCGATGCAGACTCGAAATCATGTTGGACTGGGCCTCCGATTCGTGTTGGATGTCCTTGCTGGTCATCATCACCTCCTCCACGTCCTCTAGTCCCTCTTGACCCTCTCCAATGTTCCTAAGCAAGATAACATCATTAGGTAGTAGTCTATTTTTAAAAGTATGAAAATGATCGCTTAAAAACGAGCTCACCTCTAAATTGAGTTGACGCCGACGGTGGAGCAGCACCCTGACAGATTCTGGACGTCCACTTGTTTCTACAATTCCTGTTGACTTCGATCGAATTTTAAGGTGGGACTGATGCCATTGGAAGCTCCATGAAATTATCTTTCCATCCATATAAAGAACGCCCAAAACGGACACTATATGCGACCTGGGCATCGTTTTTAGTACATGCTGCTCCTAGACTCCGAGACGGACTCAAACTTTAGTTGCTTTGGGCCTCCACCTCAGAGACTCTAACCGAATTAGCCTCGGACCTCCTTCTTGACTTGGACACCTTTGCTGGCCTCCTACCCCTCCATACCATGTGCCAAACATGGTCATATGCATGGGTGTCATGTCCTCATCAACCTGTGTCCTCCCCATCCGCTTTCGGCGTAAGTTTTCCACGCTGCCCTGAACGTCGTCATCATCGGGAACAATAGTAGGGGCGTGGAGGATGCCCAGCTAGCGCCTGGAAGAGAAGACACCGAGGTGAGGCAACAGAAAAGCGACAAGGGAGATGCAACATCCGATTTACTTTTGAAACCCACTTTCTAGATGATCCCTATAGAGTAGGGAGATAGAAATTCTCCTAAATATCTATCTAATCTACTTACTTCGTTCCCTAATTTCATTCAAGAGATCCTGAGGAAAAGAGTTGGGTTTCCACCGAGCTGAAACAAATACATTGATGGTTCTAGTAAACCAAAACCATCGTTTTTAGCTATTGGACTTCCATTTCCTACAAAACAAAAGACGATGCAACACTTGCAATATGCGTCTGAAGGCAGATGAAACACTTGAAATATGCTTCTGAAACACTTAAAAAACACTTGGAAAACACTTAAAACATTGCAAAACATACGTAATATCTAGATAAGACACAATATGTGTGAAACTTATGCAACATCCAAATAAAACACACTTGCAACATACATAAAAAACACAGATGAAACATAGAAAACAGACCTTTGCAACATACATGTACAACCATTGCAACATATGCAACATCTCGAACTTTTGCAATGCCCGCATGAAACAATTGCAACATACCTATGAAACACATGAAACATACGCTTGCAACATGTGTTTTCAGCACTTCACAACATATCCTTTGCTGCTTGCGAGAATGGAGTCTCGTCGGCGTGTGGAGTTAAATCGGGCGGTGGTGGTGGGCTTGTAGGCGGTAGGCGGGCAAGACGCTTGTTGCTCAAGGCGGCGGGGGTATCGACCACGCGATGAGGCGAGGAGGCGAGAAAGCGGCCGCGGCTTAGCGTCCGCCCGAGCTGCGCGCCAGACGGTGTAGGGCCCTTGATTCGATGGGCGAGCAACGATCCTCGAGGCGACAAAGCGAGCGGATAGGAGTGACAAGCGGATAAGAGCAACGAGTGTGTAAGAGCGACGATCGTTTTTTTTATTAGAAATGGACGAGGGGATTTGAGGGGGTTGGTGGACCGGTGCACTGCGCATCTGGGGCCGCGTCCGGACGGGCGGGGACGGACGGACGTCCTGTCCAGGCATTATCGATTTGAAATAGTCTAATTTACCCATCAAGGCTTTTTTTTTTTTTTTTTTGGTGGCGGTGGATTTACCCCCTCGAGGCTAATACGACGAACATGGACAATTATTTTTTTCACGGCCCGGTTCGAAAAATGTTAGATGGGCTTTGCTGGGCTTTAAAGATACGCACGTTATACAGCTTCGACAAGATGGACAGGGAGTCAGCTGTCGCCACTGACCTGCTAGGTTGCTACACCCTGCACGCGCCCCGGCCGTTTAACCAGATCGCCCCTGCCCTCCCCGACGGCGCCGAGCTCGCCCTCCATCCCCGCCCAAGTTCGCCCTATCCCGGTGCCTCGAACTCGTCGTCCTCGCTCCCGTGGTCGCCACTGGGAAGCATGAGGAGGCGGCCTGGGATCGCTGGCTTGGAGTATGCGGCGGTTACTCGCGTATGTGCTGTTCTTATACTTGTTTTATTTAAATGAGAGATCTGTGTTATTTCTTCCCTGATTGGAAGATGAGATGAGATTATTGCTGGGAACTTTCAGAACCAGTTCCGGCTGGTCGGGGAGAATGTGGCCAATGTCAGGACCGATGTCATGGAGGAGCAGCTTGCGACGTTTCGGCCACAGCTCGAGGAATTTACTTGCACGCATAAGGTGATTCACTCTCCTGTATTTAGTTGAATATCGAAGGAGAAAGAAAACCTAATTACACTTAATTGTTATGATGCAAAACTTGCAAATTCTCTGTTGTCTTTTGAATAATGATACTGATATATAGATCGGGATTACCAATCTTTTATGTATTTAAGTGTAAGATGAAGCTAAACCTCATGGCCTGCCTGGGACTGGGAGAACCCATGAGATTTGTAAACTCTGTGTATTAAAATCCTTATATATGCTAAATGAATGGGCAGCGCTCCTGCCAATATTCCTTCAGAAAACATATCACTTATGCTTATGTGTATTATCTGTTGAATTCTTAACTAGGGATGAAATGACTGTTTTCAGAAAGCATCCTTCTCTACTGTGGGGTTCGACCTGCCTGGCTGGTTCAGGAACCCGAAGGATGGTGATCCTTGGTCCAGGTTGGACGGCAATGGCGATGATGACTTTGTGCTCCCAGCCAAATCAGACTTCTCAGAAGAACAAGGCTGCTCTGCTACCGGTGGAGGATCCAGACCACTGTCGATCCATGCCAGCTGCCCTGCATCCCATGAAGACGCCGAATTTGAGGCCGACGTGGATGAGGTCAGCCGGATTTTGAGATCACGGTTTGCTTCTCCAGAGGCCATTGTGATCGCCATGGACTGCTGCCCTGTCAGGGTGTCAGCACGCCTTGTCAACAAGGTCCTGAGCAGGTTCAGCAATGATTGGGTGGCCGCATTTGGGTTCTTCACGTGGGCGGGAACTCAGGCAGGCTACTGTCATTCTGCTGATTTATATGACATGATGGTAGACATATTGGGCAAGTTCAAGCAGTTTGATTTGATGTGCGGTCTGATCAGCCAGATGCATGAGATTGGGGGGTTGGTGTCGCTAGCGACCATGACGAAGGTGATGAGGAGGCTCTGTGGGGCCAACCGATGGAGTGACGCCATTGATGCTTTCCATAAAATGGACCGCTTTGGGGTGGCGAAGGACACAAAGGCCATGAATGTGCTCTTGGACACATTGTGCAAGGAGAGGAGTGTGAAGCGTGCAAGAGGTGCCTTCCAAGCTTTGAAGGGGACAATTCCTCCCGATGAGAGTAGCTTCAACACATTGGTTCATGGCTGGTGCAAAGCGAGGATGCTGAAGGAGGCTTGTGAAACGATGAAGGAGATGGAGCGGCATGGTTTCAGTCCTTCAGTAATAACTTACACCAGCTTGATAGAAGCGTACTGCATGGAGAAAGATTTTCAGACGGTTGATGATATCTTGGATGAGATGCACACAAAAGGATGCCCTCCAAATATTATCACATACACAATTGTGATGCACGCGCTAGGGAAGGCTGGGAGGACACAAGAAGCTCTGGATACTTTTGACAAGGTGAAGCAAGATGGCTGTGCCCTAGATGCTTCCTTCTACAACTCTCTGATATACATACTCTGCAGATCTGGGAGGTTGCAAGATGCAAATTTTGTGGTCGAAGAAATGCACCGAACCAGAATATCCCCAAACTTGAATACCTTTAACACCCTGATTTCTGCTGCCTGTGATCACTCTCAGGCTGAGAATGCACTTAAACTGTTGGTTCAGATGGAGGAACAGTCATGCAAGCCAGACATCAAGACGTACACCCCCTTGCTGAAGCTATGCTGCAGAAGGCAATGGGTGAAGACGCTTCTGTTCCTGATATGCCATATGTTCCGGAAGGACATCACCCCTGATTTCAGCACATACACGTTGCTGGTGAGCTGGCTATGCCGGAACGGGAGGCTCACCCAGTCCTGCTTATTCTTGGAGGAGATGGTGCTGAAGGGCTTTGCTCCACAGCAGGAGACCTTTGATCTTGTGCTGGACAAGCTTAAGAAGATGGACATGCTTTCAGCAGTGAGAAAGATTCAGCTTCTCAGGATGCAAACAGAAGGTACTAGGTGTAGGAGCGGTGTTCCATCTTATTTGAGAGAGGATGGTCACGGTAGACAGTGTTATGCTGTATTGTCAAACACTAGTGAAGCTGAATCTTGGAATAGATGAAAAAAAGGTACCCAGAGCTGTGCGTACACTGTAAAAACTACTGTTGATCTATTTAAACACATGAGCTTCCCTGCCATAAAAAAGCTGGATCCAATCGTCCCTTTTGCTGGCTTCCAGTTGACCGATACCTTCAGGGTTCAGTGCCGGAGACCATTGTCACCTGACTGGCACACATCCAAGAAGAATCATGAGCTACAGTTGCCTAATCCTAACCCTAGGGTGTTGGCAGTTAGCCTCCCATGTGTTGGCCGTTACTGGACATGCCCCCCTCCTGCTCAACCTCTACTCACCTCGGAGGTGTCCCAATGTCGATACTCTCTCTGGGTAAGCTCCAGCCTCTTGTGCTTCAGTTTGTAGATGTTGTAGTGTAGAGCTCTATATGTATCACAAACTCTCTAGGTAAGCAAGTATGCTCCAACATAGTGCTCTCATTTACTGAAACATTATTTTATGGATTTATAGACTTAAATGTTTCACTATATGCTGCAAGTATGCTGCAATTTGTAGACTTAAATGTTTAATCAACGCTGCAAAGGTATCTTGAATAAAACACTTGTGATAAAAAAAATGTATGCTGGTATGGATTTGACAGTGATATGAATAACTATGCATAATGGCATGAAAATAGTGCAGGCAAGAGCAAGTGACGCTGATCTTAAATAAATGTTTGTATAAGTAATATTAATTATAGAGTATGGAATTATGGAAAAGCCAACGGTTGGGAAATTGGCATGCTTAATTTCTGTAAGTACTCATGTTACTTTCATCTGCTCCAACGCAATGGTATTGCAAGGGCAATATAGCTTTTGGAACAGTACAAATGTTATCTTATTATTATGCACTAAGTAGTATACTTCAAAACATGAGCCTGGTCTTTGAATGTTGTACTTCTCATCGTAGGCTGCTTGTATTTTTTCTCTGTTATAATAAGAATCTATGTATATACACATTGCAACCATTTAACTATCTTGTTGGGTATTTTTGAGCCTGCTGCTTTGTTCTGCTGAAACCTTGACTATCTAATGAAAGAGTATGCATGAAACTATCTCTGAACTTTGAGGATGTTGCGTCAATAATATGCATTGTGGATTTTGCTAATTCTGCAATCCTAGTAGTGGGTACCTTGATGAGTGGTAATAGATCCTGTCCAGGGTTATAGCTGCTTCCTTTTCTTCTGATCCACTAATGTTCTCACTTGTGTGCATTCCTACCTATCCAAGTATATTCGTTTATGCCCGATTCGGATTTGTTTTGTAACATAGCAATGGTTCGCTCCCTGTAGGGTTTTATACCATTGGACAGTCATATGAACTTACAGATTGGGACTGGATCAATTGACACGGTTAGTTTACTAATATAAAGATGGATATAAAATGATTTTACTGCTTTGATAGCTTTGCTCTCTCCTATCTACCATTTCATTTTCGTATGTAATGTTACATACATAGATGGGCACAGTTTTTCGTTAGACTGATCTAGAGGCAGGGCTTGATCACTAAAGATTTCACCTTTATATTTAAAGCCATCTGTATAGATTCCTGAAGGGCGGGCCTGGTGCAAGCGGTAGAGTCTTACCGCCTGTGACCGGAAGGTCCCGGGTTTGAGTCGTAGTCTCCTCGCATTGCACAGGCGAGGGTAAGTGTTATGACCGGCTTCCAATATGCCAGGAGGAGGCCCATTAGTGGGTAGATGAGGCGCAGGAGCTAGGGGCTAAAAGCCCATATTTATCTTTAATTGTTTATTTCCATAATTAGTAGAGCAATTAGCCATATATAGGAGTTGTAATTCCCGTGGACAGAATTAAGCAAAGAGTAATCACATTACTCGGCTTCCCTCTGGGAGCCGGGAGTTCCAGAACCCTAGCCGTCACCTCTCTCTCTCTCTCTCGTCGTGCGACCACGGCGCCTCGCCGCCGTACGACGTTCAAGCCCCGACCACCGATCTCTCACAGCTACAACCTCCGATCGACAAGGCACAGAGAGCAGCTGCCTATCAACCTGGTATCAGAGATCTCTGGTTCGATGTCGCTCCCTCTGCCCACCTCTTCCACGCCGCCGATCGTGGCCTCCACCTCCGTTCCGCTGTCGTCCACCTCCGTGCCGCTGCCACCCCCTACCACCAACGCCATGATTCCATCGTCCCCGATGCCGCTAGGCTCCGCAGGGGCGCCCGCTGCCAACGGCGGGTCGGTCGTCCTCACGCCCGAGGAAGTCACGCAGGCCATCCTCGATCTGGGCCGCGCGGTGGGCGAGATTCGCGCCTTCCTGGGCGGATCAAATCACGTGCAGCCGTCTCCCCAACCGCAACTCCCACCACGACCGCCGCAGCAACAACTACCGCCGCCACCGCCGTCCCCCGCGATCGCTACGTCAGGGATGGCGCCCCAGTACGGCATGCCGCCCGAAGTGCACGGATCATCACCACGCCCGTCCGTGCCGAACCCATCGGGTGGGGTGCCGATCCAACAAATTCAGTTCCCGCACTCCCCGTCCCCGCTGTCGCCCTGGCTGTTCGCGGAACCGCCGGCCTATTCATCCTCCACGACGCAGCCATGGCTTCCACCACCACCGTCCTCCGCCGGCGTCGGGTCCTCCTACGGGGGTGCTCCGGCCCCGGGGGTCCTCTATGGTGGCACCGAGCGGCGGGTTGTTCCCCGGCGGAAGAAGATGCCATCGTCCCACCTTGGTGGCGCCGATTCCGGACCAGCAGACGGAGGGGGGCACGCCCACGGGCGTCCCAAACGATGGTGGCGTCGCATCCAACCATGGCGGCTAGCCGCCATTCGGCGCCTCCAACTATGGCAGCCATGGTAGCCAGCCGCCGTTCGGCTATGATCCGCAGGCCAAGTTCTACAAGCTCGAGTTCCCAACATACGACGGCACCGTTGATCCGCTGAATTGGTTGAACCAGTGCGACCAGTTCTTTCGCGGCGGCAGCGCCGGCGGCGACCCGTCACGGCTTGCGTCCTACCATCTCTCGCGGGCGCGCGGACTGGTACTACGCCTTGGAAGCGGGGCGAAGGGCATGCGGCGGGAGGCGTTTCGCGACTTATGTCGCTTCGCTTTGGCCGCCGCTTCTGGCGGTCGATTGGTGAGCTTCGGGCGGTACGCGCCCTTCGCCACGACCGTCAGAGTTCGCCGATCGCTAAGCGCGCGCTTTATCACTGACCGGACGTCTCTACGCGCCAGCGTGCTGAGCTCTTTGTCGGCGGCTTACCGGAGCACATCAGGGTGGATGTCGAGATCCACCGCCCGCAGGACCTGCAGACGGCGATGTACTACGCCCGCGCATTTGAGCGGTGGGCGGCTGCGACTCCTCCGGTGCTTCCTGCACACGCCGCCCGACCGGTCCAGCGGGCGGGCCTTCCAGCGACGCGCGCACCAGGGGCCGGGCCGGCTGCGCTTCCTCCAGCAGCGGGAGCGGGCACCCCGGGCGGCCGCGCATTCCGGCGACTCACGCCAGTCGAGCAGCAAGAACGGCGCCGCCAGGGGCTCTGCTACAATTGCGATGAGCTCTACGCCTCGGGCCACGTGTGCCCGTGCCTCCTCTACCTGGCAGCCGACGACATCATCGAGGAAGCCGCGCCGCCACAAGAGGATGTGGTCGCGCCGGCTCTGCAGGAGGAAGATGTCGCTCCCGAGTCCGATGTTGCTAATGTCTTTGCGGTCTCCCTCCATGCTTTTGCAGGCATTCGGACGTCCAACACCATGCTGCTGCCGGTGATGATCAAGGGGGAGCGCCTGCTGGTGTTGCTCGACACCGGCTCCACCCACAATTTTCTCAGTGGGGCGACGATGCGGCGCCTTGGGTTCGCTCCGGATGGTGGGGAACACCTCCGCGTCACGGTGGCCAATGGGGACAAACTTCGCTGCGCTGGGCTCGCTCGGAACGTCCCCATCACCATCGAAGGGGAGACCTTCACCATCACGTGCTTGCCGCAAGATCGACTTGGTACGCCGACTTCATCCTCGGCTACAATTACCTGCGCACGCTCGGCCCCATCACTTGGGATTTGGAGGCCAAGACCATGGCGTTCTGGCGGGCGAGGGGCGGATCGATGGCGCGGTGGTGGCGGGCGGCACGACCCACCCGAGCCTTCGGAAGAAGTGCGGCGGCTGCCGCCGCCATCCGGCGACCCTATTTGGATCACCTCCTCGGCAAAGACGCGGCCATCTTCGACGAGCCGCGCGGTCTCCCTCCGGCGAGGCCGTACAACCACCGCATCCACCTGCTGCCCGACACGGCCCCGGTTGCCGTCCGACCGTACCGCTACCCCTAGCTACAGAAGGACGAGCTGGAACGCCAGTGCGAGGCCATGCTCACCCAGGGCATCATCCGGCCGAGCACCTCGCCGTTCTCCGCACCGGTGTTGTTGGTCCGCAAGACGGACGCGTCTTGGCGTTTCTGCATCGACTACCGCGCCCTCAACGCCAAGACGTCTAAGGACAAGTTCCCGATCCCGGTGGTGGACGAGCTCCTCGACGAGCTCCGTGGGGCTCGCTTCTTCACTAAGCTCGACTTGCGGTCGGGCTACCACCAGGTGCGGATGCACCCCGACGACATCGCCAAGACTGCCTTCCGCACGCACCATGGCCACTACGAGTTCCTGGTCATGCCGTTCGGGCTCTCCAACGCTACCGCAGCGTTCAGCGCCCGATGAACGACGTGCTTCCGCCCCTACTGCGGAGGTTTGTCTTTGGTTTTCTTCGACGACATTCTCATCTACTCGTCGTCGGGTGAGCATCTGCAAGACATCGCCATCGTCCTCAACGAGCTTGGGCGCACCACCTCCACCTCAAGCGCTCGAAGTGCTCGTTCGGGCCACGTCGATGGCCTCACCGAATCACGTCATCTCCGCTGACGGAGTCGCTATGGACGCCGACAAGGTGGCCGCAGTCGTGGCATGGCCACCTCCACGCTCGGCCCGAGGACTTCGTGGCTTCCTGGGCTTGGCGGGCTACTACCGGAAGTTCATCCGGGAGTTCGGGCTCATCGCGGCT